GGTGTGATGTTGTGTGTTAGGTGCTGCTGAGCAGACTATGACTCATAGGCGCCCTATAAACAACAGATCTGAAACTTGCACTATCCTGCAGGATAGACTCATCAATGGATAGACTCACATTGTTACAGTCACCGTGTCAAACCATCTTGTTGAAGATCTCCCCCTCTTTTTCTGACCCCCCGGCTTTCCCAGCATGATGTCCTTTTCCAAGGACTAGCCCCTCCTGACACTGACCGGAATGTGTGAGGTGAAGTCTCACCATCCTTGCCTGTGCGGAGCATCCTGCGTGCGTTTCTTCAGTAGAGTGATCTTTTCTCTTGCCGGTCTCTGGGATATTCACTACTTCTCCCTAAAACCACAGTTCAAAGGCATCGGTTCTTCTGTCTTCTTTATTCACTGTCCAGTTTTCACATGCAATGTTGTTGTTAGATGCCATTGAGTCCAGCACAGCTCAGTGACCCTATGAACAATGGGTCTGAACCCTGCCCTGTCCTGCGCCATCCTCACCGTCTGACACACTGAGGCCGCCCACTGTTAGAGTCACTGTGTCAGTCCACCTTTTGTCAGTCACCAGTTGAGAGTCTTCCCTTCCTTCCCTGACCCTCACCTTTCCAGGTATGGTGTCCTTTTCCAAGGAATAGGCTCTGCTAGCAACATGCTCAAGGTGTGTGAGATGAAGCTCTGTCACCTTTGTGCCTGAGGATCACTTCGGCTGCACTTTCCCCAAGACCTGTCTGCTTATTTTATTCCAGTTCATGGGATATTCAGTGCCCTTCACCAACACTATAGCTCAAAGGCATCTATTCTTCTGTCATCCTTATTCCTTTCCCAACTCTTAGATGCATAGCAAGTGAATAAAAAGACTGAATCAGGCATACCTTAGTCTTAAAACTGATGTCATTTCTCCTCAGTAACTTGGAGAGGTTCCTGACAGTGAACTTGCTCAGTACCACTCCTGATCTCCTGGCTGCTGGTACCTAGGGTGTTACTGAAGATCCAAGTGTAACTGCCTGTATTCCTGTCATTCCCCAGGCTTTCAGAGGCCTCTTTGTTCAGAAGTGTGTGGCCAGTCCTGCTCCTAGTCTATCTTAGTCTGAGAACTCTGCTGAACCTCGTGCACCACAGGTGACCCTTCCGGCATTTGAGCTTCCAGCATCACCGCAATCTATCAGTCACCCCAGTACAGCAAACCCATAGACAAATGCTGTACTGATAACAGAAAACCATGAGCAAGCAAGGACAGAACACCTAGGCTCTAAAGTAAAGAGCAAAATGCAGTTCCTTCCCCCAGTACAGGGACTGACACCCAGGTTTTGCACCTTTAACAGCAAACCATAAAGACAGTCGGCATGTGAGTGTGCACGTGTTAGCTGCTGTCGAGGGGATCCTGCCTGTACAGCCGGACACGGCGCGGCTTGGTACTGCTCCACGCACACACCCGGCCTGGCTCACCCCACCTAACATCCCATGTTCCCCACTAACACAGCAACGTAGGCGTCTTGGTCTGTCTGTGCTGCAGCAGAAATAGCATGAGAGGATGACTGTAACAAACGCAATAGACTGTCACAGATTCAAGTCCAGGTACAGGCTGCCCATTCTAGGGCAAGGCTCCTTCTCACTGTCTGTCAGTCAGCTCAAGTGTATGGGGGACTGGGAGGATGATGAAGAACAGGACGGGGTTCAGATCTGGGGGAGACTGAGGACAGGACAGGATGGGGTTCAGATCTGGGGAGACTGAGGACAGGACAGGACAGGACGGGGTTCAGATCTGGGGGAGACTGAGGACAGGACAGGACGGGGTTCAGATCTGGGGGAGACTGAGGACAGGACAGGATGGGGTTCAGATCTGGGAGACCATGATAATAGTGTGGGAAAGGACGGAGTTAAGATTGGTGGGGCCATGAGGATAGTTCAAAAAAGAATAGAGTTTGGATCTGGGTGGGGGTGCTTGGCACAGGACAGAACAGGGTTCAGATCGGAGGAGGCGCGGGACGGGACAGGGCTCAGACCTGTTGTTTATAGTGTCACTGTGAGTCACACTCACCTTGACAGCACGCAGCAACATACACATGCACACACCCCAGGGCCCCGGTGAGGTAGTTGTGGCGTGTTGCTCTGCTAATCCAATGGCTGCGTGTCTCCTGTGGTTCAAGTCCTCCTGCAGCTCCGTGGGAGAAACATGAGCAACCCCTTCCACTTAGATTCACAGTCAGAACCCGGTGGAGGCTCAGCTGGAAGTCAGCACCGACCCACGGCCTGAGGCTGCATCTGTGGTGGACCCTCTGCCGTGCACTCCAGCGGCTTGTAGTGACCCTGCTATAAAGCAGAGTGTCCCCACGTGGGGACAGAGGTTCTGAGTCTTCCTGAGTCTCTTGGGCGCATCGCAGATGTGATGGGCAGTGAGTGACTCAGTCTACAGCTCCGGTTCTGGACGTCTGGATACCTTCGCCCGGCAGCTCAGGTCCCTGGAGGCTCAGCCAGGGCCATTGGAGTGTATCTGACCCCGGCTGGACACCTCCAACCCGGGCCCTGCCTTCATGGGCGGGAACACATGCAGCTTCGGGCACAGGTCACAGGTCCTCTCCTGTGGCCCCCGTTTCTCGGACAGCACTCATTTTAATGACATTTTCTCCTATTGAGCCAGTCTGGTTCCTCTCCCCGTGCCAACTTGTGTCATTCACAGCCCCTGAGTGAGGGTCCTCCCTTCTGAGCAGGGGCAGCCTCCCTGTGCCCCACCTTCTGGTCCAGACCCTGCGGCCTGGGGTGACAGACCACATTCGGCCAGGGGCTTCCTGATAGGCTACCTTATCTGTGCAGAAAGGAGGCCGTGGTGGCACAGGGGTTGAGCACTCAACTTCCAGGAATAAGATCAGTGGTTCAAACCCACTGGCCACTCCGCAGGAGGCACATGGGCAGTCGGTGCCTGTAAAGATGGCAGCCTGCACACCCCGTGGGCAGTTCTCTGTCCTCCAGGGTCCACTGAGCCAGAACTGGCTTAACAGCAGTGGGTTTGTCAGGAGACGCCCCAAGCCTGAAGGGCAGTAGGTCAGCAGTAGCTCTTGTTTCTCTGAGTGCATTTAAAATGGGGGGAGGGGCTACCCTCACTGCACTTCCATGAGAATTGTTGTTTTGTACCGTCCAGTCGGAACTGACCCCTAGCTGACCTTTCAGCAAGTTTTAGAGGCTGTAAATCACATAGGAGATTGTCCATCCTTCTGCCGTGGAGCAGTGGATGGATTTGAACCGCATACCTTTGCATTGGCAGTATAGTTCCTTACCACCAAGCCACCAGAGCTTCCAGAGCCCATGAGATGAGACCCAGATAAGGCCCACATTTGGAGGGCTGGGGTGGAGGTCGTGGTCCACAGCTTCCTCTTCTGAGTGTAGTGTGGTCCTTGACCCGCATGGGGCTGCCAGGCCCGAAGTCAGCACTCAGTGTCCACGGTCAGCCCGAGCGACCTGAAGCTCCATCACAGCTCCTGATCTTTCTGGAAGGTTCCAGCTCCGTCTCTGTCCCCCGCAGGCTACCTGAATGTGCTGTCCAACAGCCGCTGGCGGGAGCGCTGGTGTCGCGTGAGGGACAACAAGCTAGTGCTGCACAAGGACCGGACGGACCTCAAGACCCACCTGGCCTCCATCCCTCTCCGGGGCTGCGAGGTCATCCCGGGGCTGGGCCCCAAGCACCCCCTCACTTTCCGGCTGCTGCGCAATGGCCAGGAGGTCGCTGTCCTTGAGGTAGGCTGTGCCCGGAGCTTCTGCGGGTGCGTGGAGCCCCTCGGCCTCACAAGAGACCAGCCACACATCCTCCTCGCTTCTGCACCCATCCCCTCCCCACCACGACCACGTATCCCCTCTACCCCCAGCCCCACTGTCCATCCCCTC